TATGTCACAAAATCCAGTCAAGCATCAAAGAACGAAGCATATCGAATTGGACATTCATTTTGTTAGAGAAAAGGTTTCTCTTGGACAGGTTCGAGTTATACATGTCCCCACTGCGTCACAGTTTGCAGAAGTGTTTAGGAAAGGTCTCATGTGTGTTATATTTGATGATTTCCGGTCCAGCTTAACAATGTGCTCACCCAACGGTTCAACTGAGGGGGGATATTAGAGGATAAGTATATTCCTTGTATATATTTTCGGATATCTATTGGGTTCAAATTTTCTATTAATCATATCTTGTAATAATTCCTACACACTATGTAACCATTTTTGCTTTATAATGTGGATACAATACAAAAAATCCCTCAAGGGAGTTTATCCATCTTTTAATTTATAGCTGTAGATTTCTTTAGTAACAATGGATGTGAGAACATTGAAGGCGACATACTGGGAAGTCTCTTTGAAGTGGCGTTAATGAGATTGTTAATAAAAACGATTGAATGGTAAGTACATACGTTACATAAGCAATTTCAATGTTGGTGTGATCCACAAACCACAATGATCATTACAATGGAGATGATTTGGTGTACGAGATGATCATATGCAACACAAATTATATCAGTGTGAAGATTTTTTGCTGAACAAAAGGACAATACGAAATTGTAGTCAATTTAGAGGAAGATATACTTATTTTGTCGACAAAGTTTTTTTTTTTTTTTGTAAATGATTGTCGACAAAGTTATGAAAGAGATGGTGATTTTTCTACGGTGGTTAAACCTATAATAGTTTTTAGAAATTTTTTCAAAACGAAAATATTGGTTTCGTTGTAGATTATTTTAAGGTGCCAAATGGCAAAATTTACCCTATGCATAATGATGATGTGGAAAATTGTAAAGAGACTAAAATCTATTTTATTATTATAGATATGCGAAAAAAACATGGCGGGGATGAACACTTATACATCAAGAATATTTTGGTTATCGTGGAAAATAATATGTGCCATCCACTAAATCAGAAAGGATCATACTTTATAAAAGTCTATGCATATCGTGGAAAATAATATGTGCTATCCACTAATTCAAAAAAGATCATAGTTTATAAACTATATGCAAAACGCATGATAGGGATGAATAAACAAGTATAGTTAATAGTTGAAAGTGCAAATGACAAAAAAAAATACAATTACATCTAAGCTAATATTTAATGATTCTCGCTTATAACGTTGAATGATTAAGGAACAAAGAATAATACAAAATGCATCTATCTATACTATTAAAGAGGAAGTACATTTTATATTTAACCTTATGTTTTCTTCAATATTTACCAAGATATGCTATTACCATTAAAAAAAATTATGGACTTTGATTTGAGTTTGAATTTAACTATTTTTTTGGGTCAAATGATACATATTTTATAGTCATAATCTAATGGCCCATATTAATTCATTTAATTAGCCTTTTTCAATATAGTTATTACTTTAGAACATCTATATATTAATACTAGATAAATTAATAATTTCTATAAATTAATAAATTTTAGAGTATTTGCACCCTCTATATACACAAAATCTTATAATTAAGAATATACCCTAATTCTTTCTACTTCTCTCCTCCCCACATATCACTTTTTTCTCCCCAATTCTTAGATATTTCTCTCTTTTATGGTATTGAGCCAATTCACCCTAAATTTTATCAGTCCCAACTTGGTGTGTTAAATTAGCATAAATTAATAAAATAATAAAATAAGTTTTTTTAGAAAATTTTATATAAACATATGGTTCTATTAAAATTATAAATTAATAGTTTCAGTGTATACATACTTTATATAAATAAGAGTCTGTAATTATATTGTTTGTTTTATATTCACAATGAAATTATCTTTATATTTTTTTAACATATCTAAAACCATATTTAAATTATATGCAATATATTATATACACCAAATAATATAATAAAATTAAAATAAATTTCAAATTTCAAAAAATAATAATTAATGTATATACAATAAAATTAATTTTTATAATCTTATAATAAATCTTTCTTAAAATAAGAATCTAAATACAAAAATTTTGTAGATTAATATCTCTATAAATTAATAAAGTTTTATCCAACATTATTAATTTATAAAGATTCTACTCTATATTAGATTGATTATTTTTACGGGGTTAATAACTTTTCGAATTGGTTCTATAGTTACTAACGATTTGTTATTTTAAAAGCTATATAAAAAATAATTTTAAAATAAGTTCTAAATGACCTAATTTATATTTTCTATTTAATAAGATTTTTAAATCTCAATTTAATAATATTATATATTTTATGTTTAGTTTACCAAGTAAAAGAACAAAATACAATTTAAGAAGAATACAACTCATAGTTTAAAAATGTACATTCAACAAAATAAATAAGATATATCAATTTATAATCTTAATAACATGAACAAATAACATAAATGTTTTTAGAACATTCAAAACATATTATTACATTGAATATATATCCCGTACGGGCCCGCGGATCAAAAACTAGTTGATAATTTAATGCCGATGACATATAAGCTAATGTTATAAGATTCTCAGTAGTGTTACAAAAAAAAGATTAAAAAAACATAAAGATTCTCGGTTATAACGTTGAAAGGGTAAGGATATAATATATATTTTTATATATAAAACTTAATTTTTAAATTTTAAATTAAGATAAAAAATTATTTATTTATTATATAACTAAAACGAATTTATATTAACAATTTTATATTTTCTATAATAAAATAATTCTTATGTATTATGTTGTTATGTTTAAAATATATTTTCCTATTATAAAACTTGAAATTAAGATCTAAAATAATATTATTAATACTTAAATATAAACTATCAAAACAATTATTTGAAAAGTGAATTTGTTGATTTGTCTACATGATCTTAGGTAATTTTGATCATTTATCAAAATTTATCTAATTTTGTTTATTACTGATTATATAATTAAAAATAATTTATATTAATGATATGATACTTTATAAAATAAGTTAATTATTATGTATTATACTGTTATCTTGAAAATATATTTTTATATTAAAAATTTTAACATGTAAAAAATATATATTATTATTTAAGAAGTGAATTTGATGTATTCTGATTTGTCATATTTTCCATGATTTTAGACAATTTCCATAATTTATCATAATTTCTATGATTTTATATATAATTTATTATATATTTAAGAACAAAATATATTAATAGAATCAGATTCTTAGAAAATAAGATACTTCTTATGTATTAAGTTAATGTCTTAAAAATATATTTTTCTATTAGAAATTTAAAATTAAGATATAAGAACTTGTAGTTATTTTATAATTGAAATAAATTTACACTAATAATATTCTACTTTTATAAAATAAGGTAATTATTATGTATTATGTTTTTTTATTTAAAATATATTTTATATTATAGAATTTAAAAGTAAAATAGAAAAATTATATTTTATTAATTAGATATAAATCATCACTCAGAAAAAATATTTAAGAAGTGAATTTGCTGATTCATTAAGTTTTCCATGATTTTAGATAATTTTAATTATATGTCATAATTTCTATAATATTATATAAATAAAAAAATTATCATATTATATTTTTAGAAAATAAATAACTTATGCATTATATTTTTATCTTGAAAATATGTTTTTCTATTATAAAATTTAAAATTATAATATAAATTAAGTAAAAATATTTGTATAAATATTATAATTAAATATAAATCAAGCAAAATAGTTATAGAAATATTTTTTAAAATATTTCTGATGTTTGAGTTTTGTCATTGATAATTATTTGATGTTTAATATGTACTTTTTGAAAACATAAATAATAATTTATTATGTTGGTTTTTAAATTAATGAAACATCAACTAATAAATATTCACAAGATAATTATACCCGCAAGTGTGGGTAAAACATCTAGTATATGGTAAAAAATTTGCATTTTTTTAATTAAAAGTATCACATGGTTAGTAGTCTTCCTCTTGCTCCTCTGGAACGAATAAAAAAATAAAAATATAAAATAACACAAGTAAGATATTATTGCTTATTTTATCTTTTTACATATTATGAAATAATAAAATATTAAGTATTACGTATATATAGTTAAATCGACACATCCACATAAACTTAAAAACCCATCTTTTTATTTACAATCACTTCATGATAAATAAATTCAAATAATCAATATTAACAATTTATATGGTATGCAATTAAATTTAAATAATATCAATATATATATAGTATATTTTATCATAATTATGTATTAAATGATACTTTCTATTCATATAAATTTATGATAATTTGTATCTTTTTATTATGAGATTTTAAATCATTGATATTAAAATTTGTAATGTGGTATTTTTAATAGTTTTAATAATTTATACTGGTTTTTAAAAATTCAATGCAAATTTAGAAATCAAAATATTAATTTCTTAATACTTGTTCAATGGAAATTTTAAAATTAAAATATTTTTATATTTTGTATGGCATATAGTTGAATTAATATATATATATTTTTAATCTGAGTATACATTAAATAAATTTTTACTCAAAAGGTTTTATGATAATTTTTATCTTGTTATAACAAAAGAATCATTGACCACAAAATTTTCATTGATGAACTTTTAACAGTTTTAATAATTTATAATTGTTTTTAAAAATTCAAAATATAACATACAAAATATATAATCTTTTATTATATGGTTAATGTGATTGTTTTGTTTTTGTAGTGACATAATAATAAATCAAATATTATAGAGGTTAAACAAATTATTATCAAATCTTTATCATTAAAAACATTAATTATATATATATAAGAGATTCTGGTTTATAACGTTGAAAGATTAATTATATAGGATCATTATGACCCCGTCCACTAATTTAGTAAGTTATTATATTCCCTTTTCGGATATGAAGCTAATAAATAGGCCTTAAGGAAGCATATAACTTATATCCCTAACTCCTTTCGCAACATCAAACAAAAGTTTGTTTCCCTATTTGGAGATCAACGAGCCTTGTAGATCAATGACGATATCTCATGTCCAGCTTCTTCCTCTTTTCCTCGCATCACTCTTTTGCTTACCATCATCTTTTCCTTTTTTGTACGCCATCAAGTTCGAAAACTGCAAGGGTAAGTATCGAGTTGTTAATCTAAATTTTCTTTTATAGGAATTTAATGTTTTCACTATAACTGATACTCCTAATTAATATCTTGACATACCACAATAGATACATTTGGATTCCTTTGGCGACAAAAAAATATACATTTCAAATGGTTGAAGTTATAAAAAAAAAGAAACTGCGTTGATATTAGTGTTGTTGTTCTCCTCGATTAAACTCTGTAGAAGAAACTTTTGACGCTATGTTTGTATTAACGTAGACTAGTTCTGGACTAGGTAGAAACTTAAGTCTGACCAGGGGTGACTTAATCTCTGTTACTGTTGCAGGTGTCGCAAATAATGTCGGTAACGTAACTAATTTAACGCTCAGCCCAACGGGCGTGGATAACAAATATACGTTATACGTATCAATGGACACAAGTACCTAATATTTTCTTACCATCATCTTTTTCCCAATTTTCAACTTTCCATTTAAATTTCCTTTTTCAGTAATATATAATATCTAATTGTTTTTGTGTGGACAGAGAAGCTGATATTCTTGGACGCAGGAGTTGCAATACTAAAACTTATAGTTGGCAAAATGGCGTTCCGGGTTGTACCCGTTGACGATTTTTGTAGTTGTGTAGATACATTGCCTATTCAAGGTGGCAAAAACGTTAATTTTTCTTTTACTAACGTTTCTTTGCAAAACGGCGAACACGAGGTAATCTTCCTACACTTTTTGCATAGAAGTATATGAAAAAAGTTGAATTCACTCTTTTTTCTTTCTAATCTGTGAAGGGTTATGATAAGGCTACTCTTACTTTCGGTAGTCAAGATCGTATCGAAATGTGCATCAACTTCAATCTGAATAGTGTCATAGCATCAGCAGCAGTCTCTCCATAACCAAGTACTTGGGGGGGACCGACAAACTGGAAAAACGACTATTGCTATCTGTCTTGCTACCGTCCTATGTGTTGCTCAGCAAATAAAACAAAACTTATAAACCGATGTTTGATTTCCCTCTGTTGTATTTTCGTTTAATTCATGTGAATTGGGACCTCGTTTTTTTTTTCTGGTATTGGTTCCAAGCTGATTTTTAAGTGACTTATATCAAGTTCAAATTAGATGAAGTTTTCATTTGACATAAATCTACTTTAAGGAAGTTAAAAGTCACTCTAAAATATAATGTAAAGTGTAGTTTATTCATTAACCCAAGATAGGTATATATACAAAGAGATTAGCGTACAATAACTTGGAATAGGAAATATTCTATTTAGCCTAATCCCTTACGATATGGGAATATGTCATTATCCCATTACCCCCCCTCAAGTTGGTAATGTTATATTTCGAATTCCCAACTTGGACAACAAGTACTGAAATGCAGGGGAGGGTAATGCCTTTGTAAGTAAATCCGCAGGCTGGTGCTTTGTAGCAATATGCTGAGTAGTAATGATTTTAGCTTGGACCGCATCACGAACCGTGTGACAATCATTCTCCACATGCTTTGTTCTCTCATGAAAAACTGGATTTTGAGCTATGTGTAGAGCTGCTTGACTGTCACAAAAGAGGCGCATAGGTTGCTGATGACGAAAACCGAGCTGGTACAAGAGACGTTTGAGCCATTTCAACTCGCATGTAGTGTCTGCCATTGAACGATATTCTGCTTCAGCGGACGATCGAGATACTGTGCGTTGCTTCTTAGTCTTCCATGATACAATGGAGTCACCAAGCAATACGACATACGCACTAAGAGAGCGTCGAGTCAGGGGACAGGCCGACCAATCTGAGTCTGAGTATGCTGTTAAGCGGAGATCAGTATTGGCGGATAGCATAATGCCCTGCCCCGGACATCCTTTCAAGTAACGAACAACCCATAGAGCAGCGAGCCAGTGATCTTCTACGGGTTTCTGCATGAACTGAGATAGGATATGCACAATATAACTCAACTCAGGACGTGTGAAAGTAAGGTAAATAAGCCTCCCAACAAGCCGACGATACTTTCTCGGGTCTTGAAGCTGTTTACTCGCAGATAGTGCGAGTTTATGGTTGAGTTCAGTCGGTACTGGGGCCGGTTTAGCTCCAAGTAATCCACACTCAGAGATGATATCCAGTGCATACTTACGCTGCGACACAAATATCCCTTCAGGTCCGTGTGCAACTTCTAAACCAAGAAAGTACTTAAGTTTGCCCAGATCTTTCATCTTGAAACAAGTGCTGAGATAGTTCTTGAAACGAGTTGGATTGTCGATATATCATTCCCAACTATGATAAAGTCGTCAACATAGATTAGAATGTGAAAGCAGACATTTTTCTGCACAAACGAAAAAAGTGAGTAGTCTAGAATTAGAAAAGTCTATCTTTAAATCCTTAAACACCGGTAGAGTAGATAAAGCTTGATAAGAAGGATGCCCAAGTCGTCTATGCCACAGAGTTGAGGAAGAATTCTTCGTTTTTGAGACCCCATGAACACCTGCAACTTTAACACCCGTAAAGTAATACACCCCCTCACGTTCTTCACCTGCTCCAATCAGAGTCCTCGAAAAACGGTCCTGTAAAACACACAATGTATCAGTAAATATTGCTATGCATCCAGTTTGTTTTAACAATTTAGATACTGATATGAGGGTGCAGTGAAAGTTCGGCACAAATAGCACATCACGAAGATAATATTTGCTATTCAAACGTAAGCTCCCTTGCTTTACAGCATGGGAATCACGTCCATCAGGAAAGGTTACGGATGATATCGGAATGTCCACGACATCATGTAGTAATGTGAGATCACCCGTCATGTGGTGTGACGCTCCGGTGTCAATAATAACATCAGTAATGTTAGTTTTACCCGATAATCGTTCAGAGGAAAGATTGCTCTGTTGTTGTTGGAGAAGTGTGATCAGCGATGCAATCTGATCCGAGTTGATCAATGATGAGCTTTGAACAGCATTAGCTCGACCACGACCCCTTCCTCGATTGCTATTATTTCTGCTGCCACGACCTCCACGATTGCTCGAGTTGTTTTGTCGTTCCTGAAACCACTCAGGATAACCATGAACAAGGAAGCATTCTGTGATGTCATGTCCTTTGCGCCCACAGTGAGTACACGAACGAGCTGGATCCCGAGACTTTTGTTGACTGGTATCCGAATTACTGGATTCTTTCGGTGACTCTGTTTTAACCGAAAAACCGAGAGCCTCTGTTCTTTGCTCTTTAGCTCGGGTCGTCGCCATGTTCTGTTCTTCGCGTATCACCCTTGAGTACACGTTGTTGAGGTCTAGTAGTGGTTCCTCATCGGTGATACGTGATCGTATAGACGAGAAACGCGAGTCATCAAGGCCAAAGAGGAACTTATGAACCCGCGCATCCTCTCTCTCTTTTTCAATATCTGCAGCCGCCGCACATGTACATGGTCGAGCAGTCTTCATGTTCTGTAGCTCTTCCCATAGTTTTGTGAGACGTCCGTAGTAATCAAGAACAGATTTCCCATCTTGTTTACAATTCGTGATCTCATCTTGAATCTGATGTATGCGAGTTCCATTCTTGACGGAGAAGCGGAAGCGTAGATTTTCCCAGAGTTTTTGTGCTTCAGGGACATAGGAGACTGTTGATCGAAGTTTAGGATCAATAGATGTGCGAATCCAGCCGACGATCATAGAGTTAGAAGCAAGCCATCGTGTTAGATCCGGTTCTGATTGAGGTTTGATGATTGCTCCATCAATAAAGCCGATTTTGCGTTTGGCTTGAAGAGAGTTTCTGAGCTCGGTTGACCACTCTGTATAGTTTTCTTGATTGAGTTGAACCGATGTAATTAGAGCTCCAGGGTTGTCGGATGGGTGGAGATAGTATGGTGATGCGTCCATAAGCGCAGCCTGGTGTGTAGCCGTAGAAGTAGAAGTAGAAGTAGATTCTTCAGCCATCGTTATGGATGCTACTGAAGATGATCAACAGTTTGATCGTAGAAAAAAAAATTAGGTTAAGATCTTTAGCTCTGATACCATAAAATATAATGTAAAGTGTAGTTTATTCATTAACCCAAGATAGGTATATATACAAAGAGATTAGCGTACAATAACTTGGAATAGGAAATATTCTATTTAGCCTAATCCCTTACGATATGGGAATATGTCATTATCCCATTACACTCGTCAGTACTTTTCAGAAAGAAAAGTCATTCTTCGGTAAATAATGAAAAGCTAACCCCCAAAAGAGAGTCAGAAAAGTGTCAATCCAAAACCCATTGTTTAAATTCCAGACCTAATAAATATATGAGAAAAGACGAGGACCTGATTGGTAACCACTAAAGGTCTATATTTGATCAAGGGACCAGCCTTCCATGCCTTCTTCAATACAAGACAGGTTGTTGCGAGTGATGAGGTCTGGCATCAAAGGTTGGAGCATCCTAATTCGTATATCCTTCAGCATTTAACTTCTATAAAGTATATTTTCATCAATAAAAGATCCAAGCCGTTGTTCATGTCATATCAGATTGGCCAAAAGCTCCAGGTTTCCGTTCTCTGCATCGCAGTTTGAAGCTACACGGCCTCTTGAGAAGATACACTGTGACATATGGGGGCCATCTCATGTAGGTGTCCTTCCAAGATTTAAGATACTATATTGTCCTTATTGATAATTACTCTCGGTATTGTTGGATGTATCCTATGAAGAAGAAATTGATTTTCATTCTATATTCCTGGTCTTTCAATTGCTTGTTCAAAATCAATTTCACACCACCGTTGGAACCTTTCAATATGATGGTGGTGAGAAGCTTATAAGCAATCAATTTCTTCGTCACTTACAAAATAATGGGATCCAACAAATTTTCTCATGTCCACATACACCTCAACAGAATGGCTTGGCAGAGAGAAGACACAGACACATAGTTGAGCTTGGTCTATCACTATTGTTCCAGAGTAGAGCTCCACAGAAGTACTGAATTGATGTGTTTATGACTGCAAACTTCCTCAGCAGCTTTCTTCCTCACTCTGCGAACACAAGTGCTAGAAGCCCATATGAGATGCTACACAATAAAAGTCACTCATATGACGCTTTCAAAGTTTTTGGAAGTGCATGTTTCCCAATGCTGCGTCCTTATAGCCAAAACAAGCTGGATCCTCGTGTTTCTTGGTTATAGTGAGAAATATAAGGGTTATATATGCTTGTTTCCTGCAACAGGAAGAGTCTACATTAGTAGGCATGTCATTTTTAATGAATCGAAGTTCCCTTTTGCTGATATGTACAGACATTTGCTTCCAAGGGCCACTACATCACTAATGGAAGCTTGGCTAAAGAGTGAACTCAGTACAGCAGCTCAGTCCCAGCGTTCACCATCATTAACGGTGGTGAACAGACTGTGTCTAATTAAACCTCTACAAAGAGTTGTGCTGACCAGTTCAAGTTCAGGAAGCTGTTCAATTTTACACTCTCCAGAGACAAACATTCCATTGGTGATTGCAGAACGTCAATGAGTGCATCACAGAGTAACTCAGCGTCTGGAAGCAATTCTCACCAGTCTGATTATATTGGACGACTTCTCCAAGAACAGCAGTTCCTTTCAACAATCATCAAATGACAACACGGTTGAAAGCAGGTATATCAAAGCCAAACCCAAGATATGCGCTGCTTTCACAAAAGGCGTTGTGTCCTAAACCAAGAACGGTTGCAGAGGCACTAAGACATCCATGTTGGAACAATGCAATGAAGGAAGAAATAGGGAACTGTGATCAGACAAACACATGGTCTTTGGTTCCTTATAAGCCTGATATGCATGTTATAGGTAACAGTTGGATATTTAGAGAGAAGTTGAATGCGGATGGAATATTTAAGTCATTGATTGAGAGCTCGTTTGGTTGCTCAAGGTTGCAGTCAAGAAGAGGGTATTGACTACCTGGAAACATATAGTCCAGTGGTCAGAACGGCAACCATCAGAATTGTTCTTCATATTGCAATAGTCTAACAACGGGATATTAAACAGATGGATGTTGCAAATGCGTTTCTTCATGGGGATCCTCAATGAGACTGTCTACATGAGACAACCTAAAGGTTTCCTGGATGAAAATAAACCTGATCACGTGTGTCTTTTGTACAAGTCTCTCTACGGTTTGAAGCAATCTCTGAGGGTGTG